AAGGATGGCTCAAAAAAAAGCCATAGTGTTATAGCTGCTCTATAAAAATTAATTAATTCAGCAGTTCTGCAATGGCAAACTGAGAGGCATTGGCATCTGAAATTAATACTTGGATTGCACTGAACCTATATATTGAAGCCAAGAGATACCAACAACTTATTACAAAAGAGACAACTATACACCAATGAACATCCTTATGAAAGAGAAAGTGGATCCATCTCAAGAGCTCCATGAGTCCAAAACTTTGGAAACCATGAAGAAACAATCATGTCTCCCCACAAAAGTTATAATCCCCTAACAATTTTTGAATAGAAACCAGTGAGAAGTCCTGGAAATGGAAGACAATAAATCAAATTTTTAAAAATCACTTGAAAGTATAACCAATAAGCTAGATTGAACTGAAAACAGTCCTCAGGCCTCAAGGACAGGGTATTTGAACTGGAACACTCAACACACACTAAAGAAAAATAAAGATAAGACCATGATCAAAATATACAAGAACTCTGAGACAACATTAAGAGACAAAACTATCCTGATGACTTACTGAGTTATCAGGATAGACAAGGGCATAGAATACAGGCTAATGGCATTAAGAACATTTTAATTAAGATGAGAGCAGAAAAAAATTGAACCTTAGGAATGCAGTGGATGTCCACATACAGAACACATACAGAAGCCCAAATAGGCAAGATCAAAAAATAACCTCTTCAAGACACATCACAATCAAAATGTCTAACAAAGAAAACAAGGACAGAGTATTAAAAAGACTGCATGAGAAAATGTCAGACCACTTTTAGAGTAGACCAACAATATTCATTTCAGACTTCTTAACTCAACCTCTAAAAGCCAGGAGAGTTTGGAATGAGGTAATACAAGCTCTGAGAGAAAAAAAATGCCAGCCAAGGTTGCTATATTCAGCAAGTTTATCATTCTGAATTGAAAGGGAAATTTAAAAATTTCTACAACAAGGATGAAATGAAAGAATTTGTGACCACTAAACCAGCACTAAAGAAAATACTTAAGGAAATGCTACAAAAAGAATTTAAAAAGAAGCCTCAGAACTCTCAAATAGATGAAGCTATCTGGAACAATTAAGCAACTGAAAATTAAGGACAAGTTAAAACCATGAAACAAGCCAAAATGACCAGATAATAAACATCTTTCCATAATAACTCTGAATGCAAATGGTCTCTACTTTCCCATTAAGACACTGGTAGAGTGAATTAGCAAACAAGAACCAACAATATGTTGTTTGCAAGAAATTCATCTTATAGGCAAACAAATCCATAGACTGAAGATTGGTTCAATGTACATAACTGAATAAATGTAATTCATCACATAAACAGAATCAAGGACAAAATCACATGAGCATCTCAATAGGTGCAGAAAAAGTCCCTGACAAAATTCAGCACCCATTCAGTTAAAAACAGTTAAGATACTAGAAATAGAAGAAATTCACCTCAACATTTTAAAGGCTATGCATGACAAAGCTAAAGCCAACATCATACTATACAGAAAAAACTGAGAGTATTTCCTCCAAAATCAGGAAACAATGCAAAGATGTCCACTCACACCACTCCTTCTCAATACAGTTCCTGAAACTCTAGCCACAGCAATCAAGCAAGAGAAGAAAATTAAAGGAATATAAAAAAGAGAAGAAAATTAAAGGAATATAAAAAAGAAAATTATATCTCTGCTGATGATATAATTCTAGAGAACCTCAAAACTTCACCATAAGACTTCTAACCCTGATAAACAAATTCAACAAAGTAGCAGGTTACAAGATGAACACACAAAAATCAATAGCTTTCTTATATTCTAACAATGAACCTGAAGAAAACTATTCCATTCACAACTATCTAAAAAAAAAAAAAAAACAAACACTTGGGAATAAATCTAACCAGAAAGGTGAAAGATTTCTCCAATGAAAATTATAAAACACTGATGAAAGAAATAGAGGAAGACCTTAGAAGATGGAAAGACTGTACAGGTATAATTAATATCATAGGTAGGTAAAATTAATATCTTAAATGGCCATTTTACCAAAAGCCATCCACAGATTCAATGCAGTCCCAATCAAATTTCCAATGGCATTCTTTACAGAACTAGAAAAATGTCTTAAATTTTATATGGAAGAATAAAAGACCCAGAATAGTCAAAGCAATCCAGAGAAGCAAGAGTAATGCTAGAGGCATCACAATAACTGATCTCAAATTAAACTACAGAGCTATATAATGCAAACAGTATATATTGGCATAAAAATAAGTATGAAGACCAATAGAAAAGACTAGAATTCAAAGACAAATCCACATAAATACAGTCATCTAGGGAATGAAGTTAATCAAATTAAGATATGTGCATGTATAAATATATCACACTTAATTCCAATGTTATATATAACTAAATGCACCAGTTAAAAATAAATAACTAGGCTCAGGAAGCTAAGGCAAGAGGATCAGGAGTTCAAAACCAGCCTCAACAACTTAGCAAGGCCCTAAGCAACTCAGTGAGACTCTGTCACTAAATAAAAATACACAAAGGGCTAAGGATGTGGCTCAGTGGTTAAGTGCTCCTGGGTTCAATTCCCTGTATTACTACTACTACTACTACTAATAATAATAATAATAATAATATTATAATATAATAATAATAATAAATAGAAGGAAGACCAAAAAGATAAAGGAAGGGAATCAGAGAAGGAGAAGAAAAGAAATGAAGCAAACTATGTGATATTTACTTATGAATGTGTCAAAATAAATCCCCACTATTACATATAACTATAATGCACTAATTTAAAAAAATACAGAATGTGAAAAAAGAGAGAACAAGAAGAGTTGCAATCAATCATCTATGTTTCTCCCTTAGAAAACTAGAAAAGAAAAGCAAATTAAAACCAAAGTAAGCAGAAGAAAGTAATTACAAAAAAATAGAGCAAAATTCAGTCAATGTGAAAATGGTAACTAACTCATCAGAGAAAATCCACAAAACCAAAAGTTGTTTTTTAAGAGTTTTATATAATTAATATCTTATTAGTCAGCCTCTAACTAGGCTAAGAAAAGAAAGAGAGGAAATAACATACTATTATCAGAAATTAAAGCAGAAACATTGTTATAGATCAGAACCATGAACACTAAAGAAAGAATAAAAGAATATTATGGGCAAATCTATACCCATAAGCTCATAACCCAGGTGTTGGACTCACATCTTGAAAAACAGAATCTGCCCACAATCACACAAGAAAAAATAGACAAAGTAGGTCCATGTCAAAATAACTTAACCAATAATTAAGTACCTTCAAAAACAGAAAATACTGAACCCAAGTGGGTTTACCACTATATTCAACCAAATTCTTCAGGAAGAAATTTTACCAATTCTTTTTTTTTTAGTTTTAGTTGGACACAACACAATCCCTTTATTTTTATGTGGTGCTGAGGATCGAACCCGGGTCCTGCCTGTGTGAGGCGAGCGCTCTACCACTAAGCCACAATCCTAGCCCTATACCAATTCTTTACAATCTATTTCAGGAGACAGAAGCAGAGGGAATACTTCCTAACTCATTCTCCTATGAACACATATATAAAGGTCTTCAATAAAACATTAGTAAATCAAACCCAACAATGTATAGAAAGAATTATGCACCACAACCTAATGGAATTTATCCCAGGTATGAAATGTTGGTTATTTAAAAATCAATTAATATAATTCATCACATCAATAGGCTAAAATAAAAAATAACAAATGACCATATCAAGAGACTCAGAAAAAGGATTTGACAAAATCCATCACTAGAGTATTCATAATTAAAACTCTCAGCAAACTAGGAATAAAAGAGAATTTCCTCAACTTGACAATGAATGTTTATTAAAAAAAAAAAAAACCCTTAGAATTAACATCATTCTTAATGGTGAGAAAGAAACTAGATACATTCCCCTTGAGATCAGGTACAAGGCAAAGATGCCCCTCTCATTACTACTTTTCAATGTGATCCTGGAAGTCCTAAGCTAATGGAACAAAACAAGAGTTCAAAGCTCCTCTTCAAGTCTGAAAGTCTGGAGTACCTGGCACTTGATGGGTGGTGGGGTTGCTCCCTTGCTGTTATCGTTGCTGCATTTGTTATGAGAATAACTGAACATATGGAAAGCTAGATGCTTGTTATTTTTTTAAACAATTTTTAGAGTTTCAGAAGAAGTTCCTATCATTTTCCTGTGACCCCTACACTGTCTCTGCAGCCAACCGCAGCATCCTCAAATCTCACACTTATAATAAGGGTTTATGTCTCAGTCACAGTCACATGTAACAGAGTTCTGCAAAGTCCATCTGAGAAACCTGCTGGAATGCATTCCTGCTAGGATTTCAGTGAATCCCTGCTCCCAAATACCCAAAACAATGGATTGATTTTAATAAGAGAGACCACCAGTGTTATCCTTCCAAAGCAGTGGTTCTCAAAGTGTGGTCCTCCACCAGCCACATCAGCATCTCCTGAGAACTTGTTAGAAGTGCAAGTTCTTGGGCCCCAGTCCAGACCACTGAGTTAGAAATTCTGGAGATGGGCCCAGTACTCTGTCAACACAAGCCCTCCAGGGGATTCTGATGCCTATTCCCACTGGAGAATCAATGATCAAGAGGAATCACAAGTCATATACTGCAATCATTTGGTTCTCTGTGGGTAAAGTTTACAGTATTTTAAATGATTAAAACATGATTTAAAGGCTAGTGGCATTCTCTAAAATATTTTTACTTTGGGCTGAGGTGGTGGCTCAGTGGTAGAGAGCTTGCCTAACATGTGTGAGGGACTGGGTTCGATTCTCAGCATCACACATAAATAATTAAGAAATAAAGATCCATTGACAGGTAAAAAATATTTTTAAAAAGATTGCCTTTAAAAATAAATAATAATAAAAGCCAATATTTTCCTGCGTGAGCAAAAAGTACAGAAGAAATATCAAGAGGTGTCATGACACATACCCTAATAAGGTACATGGGAGGCAGGTGTGGCTTACCTGACAGATGCCACTGATACACATATCGAGGGAGTCAGCATTGCAACGAGTTCCATCCAGTACTTTGGGTGCCAGCTCCACTACCAGGTTCTGTCCCCGTGCATGACACTTGAGTGCACATGGCGCAGCAGGATCATTATATCGTGGAAGCCATTCATAATAACGCCCCTGATACTGGACATCATTGTAGGCTGAGCACTGTTGGGCTCTAAAGTCTTCTGCATCTGGGGGACAGTCCTGGAGGCAGAGAAAAAGGAACATCACCCTCTGACACATCAACCAGGGACAGGGGCCAGCAGAGGGCTGAGCAAGGCCACCAGAATTTCATAAGACCAGACTCCACTTGCATCTTTATTTGGAAATAACACCTCATTCTTTCATTATTTCCTCCTTTTTAAAAATTAGAAACTGAATCTATAGCTATGAAATTCCACTTGGGATCTTGCAATAATAATCCATACAGGATTAATTAATCCATCATCTCATTCATTCTGATGACTTTTCCACTCGGGTATTTTTGTTTATCAGATAATTAAAGTTTACCATTTTAGGTATCAAATCTTGCCCTCATTTAACAATCTTAGATACAAATTTCCAAGTGCAATATATGGCCTCCTTCTTTTTTGAAACAAGGGAAACTAAAGGCCCTTGATATTTCTAGGTGATTCTAGGTCTTCAGAGAAACACAATTATTATTCATGCTTTCTGGAGTCATTTCAATGGGAAGGGTTATTTGCTCCTAATTTAATCCCAAACTACAGGGCTTTGTGAAACTTGTTATCTTTGTTGTTGTTTAATTCATGTGCCTTTTCTCCCCTGTCATGCCCCCCACCCTTTGCTCTTCACTGATACCAAACACTTGCTTCCACTGGCTGTAGGCTGGGCAGCAGATAATGTCGCTTGTTCAAATTCTGTCTAAAATGAAAATAAGTAAATTGTAGCAAACACTCTAAAGGCACTTTCATAATGATAGTTTATAAAAAGCACTTGGACAAGTATTGATGATTCTGGGGTCTTTTTACTAAATTACTAACTCTTTCCTCTAGGCATTTCCAGAATAAGGTGCTGGATGATAAAAGCGTTGACTTTCCTCATTGAATTTTGGTACACCAAAATTCCTAATTAAAGAAAACAGATACAGAAAAAGGCAATATATTATTTGATCTTTTATTATTAAAATAATTAGTATTCTTTGTAAACACTTGGGGAAATAGTTCCAATTAAAAATAAGTAACTTATACGTGTATTAAGAATTGTAATGCCAAAAAAAGAGTACATGTATAATGGCATAATTTGGCATAAACATATTTTATATACAGAGTTATGAAAAATTGTGCTGTGTATGGGTAGTAATGAGTGTAATGTATTCCACTATTGTCATGTATTTAAAAAAATAAATTAAAAAAATAAGTAACAAAGATTCCTGTATTTAAATCTTTATACAAATTTTGGTTATCTCCCGAAGACTAGTTTCTAAGTCAAAGAGTATGCTAGTTTTGTGGACTATTCAAACTACTGCCAAATTGTCCTCTATAAAGGTATTATTGCCAGGTTATGTAAGTTCCTTTTTCTCGATACTTCTTCCAAGTTTGTACGTTAATAATTTTTTTAATATTCTTCTAATCAAAAGTATAAAACAGAATTTCATTGCTTTCTTCTATATTTTCTTTTTATTATTTAGGTTTAATGTCTTCATGTATGTTTGCTTTTTGTACCAACCCTTCAAAAATTTCCTATTTTATATCCTTGATTCATTTATCTACTGGAAAATATGTTGTTTATTATTTTAGCAGATAAAACTATTAACTTCATAGTGAGGTTATCAAGTTTTGTCATTTGTGCTAGAAATATTTTTTCCCATTTAATTTTGCTTTTGGTACTTAGTTTATTCTGATGAATGGTATGAGTCAGAAATCTAGCTCTATTTTTTTTTTCTCACTAATAGATACTAATAAATTTTCAGCCAGGATTTTAAATCATACTTTCTCCCCTTTCTACTACTTGACCTTTGTGATTCACCATGTATATGCTTTCAGATTTTGTGTTATTAACTGCCTTGAATCTTGTTTGGAGAGTGAGTAGGGAATACACAAAAAACAACTGACAAACTATCTCCTGGAATTAGTTGTGCTGTTTTGCTGAGAACCCCTCCAAAATACCATTTTGTATCCACATTTTTGTCGTCTTAGGCAGATTAAATTCTGAACTCAGGTCACACCTATGGAAGCAAGTCAAACTGAAGAACACTGGAACCAGATGACTTTTTTCTCTTGAAATGAGGACTTTATCCTCCATCTGGCCATAGACAAGATCAATGATAAAATGACATCACCTCCTTTTCCTCTAGCCACAGCCAGTTTTTTCTGTATCTGATTCTTTGAAACCAAAGAAACATGTGTAAGAGAGCAGCAGGGTGCAGGCAACTCCCCTGCACGTGGCCCCTGACTGACGTTGCCAGCACTCTCCAGACACGAATGTGCTGGCTGCCTCGCTCTGGCCTTCGTTAACCTCCATAACACAATGAAGTTTCAAAAAATTAATGAAAGTTAGTTAACAGAAGACAGCTTAGAATGGCAGCTAAGCTTAGTCCCTGCCCAAACTGTAGCCAGGTGTGTGTCCTCCCTGGCCATAGCTGACCACCCGGGAGCAAGTATCTGGCCCATGCCAGGTTAATTTTTCCCCATTTGGAATTGCAACCAAAAGAGCCAGAGCTGAGAAGTCACATGAGTCCAGGCTGGGCTGGCCATTTCTTTTATGAAATGAATATTGAAGCAAACCAAGGTAGTTCCCACAGCAGAGAAGAATGAATTAGATAAGGAAGAAGATGATAAACCATGCATTTCAATAAAAGGGGCAAGTAACCTATGTTCCTTTCTGATTTTTGGCTCCAGGTCTTCAAGGTCTACTTATGCTTAAATTCCATTCTGTAACCACAAATCCATTCAATGAATCCCATTTTTCTAGAGCTCATTTTAGTAGGCTTCTCTGTTCCTTTTGTCAGAGTGGGGTAGGTAGGTAGATAGAGCAAGAGGATGGGAGAGGGAGAATAGTTATGAAAGATCACTTTACCTCAGGAGATGTAAAAACCTCCTTCACCACAAGATACTACCTTCTAAAATTAAAGAAATTGGGTGTGACCACACTAAGGGATTTTCTAACTTTGGAGCATATGCAAATCACTGTTACTGTCATTTTGGTAACTCTAGGCTCACTGTAATATAATTTATAATGCAGTTTTGACACCCCCTCCAAAGCCCCATAGATCCCACTTAGGTACTGATATGAATTTTTCCAACATGGTGAAATGAGCTCAGGTGCACTAAGCCATGGTGGGAAACCACAGTAACCATCCCAAACATAATACATGAGAAAGGAAGCTTCCAAGACCAAATGTAAAAACCTGACCAAATGTAAAAACCCCAGGCTGTGTCCTCTCTTAGAACAGCCAGCTCCATGGTCTCTGGGCCTTACTTCCACTTCACTAAGTAGAACTTTAATGCTTATTCTGTGTCACCGGATGAAATCTTTCTTTTGAGAAGATAAGAACTGAGGAAACTATTGCCTTGTAACATTAGAAAATGATGATTGCTGGTGAAGACAGGTTTAAATCTAGATAATGCTTCCTAGTCTGCCAGAGGTTATTAGGGGCGTTCTTTTTTCTCCACACCATTTAAGCTAGGCAGGTCCGGACTATTTGATAAATGGAGGAAATCATGACCTACAAAGTGTTTAGCCCCTAGCAAAAAAAATACAACGGGATATGGCAGAGTTAATAATTTGATATTCAAATCAGCAAGCACTCCATTATATGATATGGCTTTTGATTAAAGGCAGGAGCCATTACATTAAATACTTACATTAAATGCTTGCATTTACATCATCAGCACTTAAGCCCACCTAGTGCAGTTCAGTTGGGCCAGGCCCCAGCTCAAGACAATCTAGGGGCTCTTGTGTTTTACATGGAGACTCAAATGCCCAACATTCTTCTCCTTTCCTTTCCCTGAGAAGTATTTCTTAATCAGAGTTAAGTTCAAGGCAGCACTTATTTATTAAATATACTTTATGAGCTTCACCCTAGATCATATGCTATAGGGAACAGGATATAGTCCAACTTTCGCATTCCATGAGCTTGTTCTCTGATCACATCTACATGCATGAAACACATGGAAACGGTGTGCAATTACTGGCATTTGTAGATTTGCAGTAGGAATGAAATAAAGGAAATAAAATTGTTATCCAAGAGTTAAATTATAAAATGAATTAAGAGTTGATAAGGAAAGAAAAGACCTGAGATCAGCAAGACCTGACTCTAATCTGATAGACAGAATTGGTACATCTAAAAAAGAATTGTGTCTCAGAGGGAGTAGCCAGTCTGGGAAACACAGAAAAGGAAGAGGAGGCTCAGAGAAGGAAGAGGAAGAAGAAAAGGGGGGAAAGGAAGGGAGGCCGAGGGGTGGAGGAAGGAAGAATGAAAAGAAGAAAGAAGCTGATGACCATTAGCACCCATTCACAGACCACCCTGAAAACAGGGGTCTCAACTACAGGAATATGGACAACTTAAAGAGAGAAGCCAAGGCAGGAAGATTACCTAATAAATTGGGTATTTTTATGCAAGAGAGACAGACCATTACCTAAGAAACTATTTATATAATGGGAATGTATTAAGCTGTAATTTGGACATTGGTTAATGTTTCATCCAGTTAACTAGTGAGTAGGGATCAAAGAAAAATACAGTTTTTGTTGTAAGCAAATTTTAAAAGTTAAATTTTGTGATATTTTTGTATAACAAACGACAAAAATTTCTAATATAAAAACAAACTACCAAGTGGTCACCATAAGCTATAGTTGGTAAGGAAGACATTGTGGTAAAGTGAAGTCTGAGATGAGATTTACTGGATGGTGAGTTGCAAATAGGCCAAGACATAGGAAACAATATGAGCAAAAGAGAACTAGGAGGGATAAATTTAGTATCCACTAGCAACAGTGCACAGTCTTGGCCAGCAAGGGTGCCAATTGTGAGATGCATAAGAGATACACCTAGTCAACTTCTGAACGCCCCTGTATGCAAGGGAGGGGATCAGAGAACACCAAGATGCAGGCAGGGGACTGACACAGAATAGGTGCCATTTGAGGAGACCAGTGTAATTGCAGGATGGCCTGGAAGGCTGGAGACAGGAGAAGTGGCTCTCTCCTAGAGCAGGAGCAACCAACAGCAATGGAAAGACAAGAACATCTCAAGGAAAAACACAGAATCAAAAGGTATTGGAAACCATGCATAGGATCCATGGTATGAAGGACCTTTAAGGGCCACATCAAATGTTGCCTGTTTTGGGAAGTCATCAGGGATCCTAGAAAACCCACTGCACGGAGCTAACTACACTCATAAAAAATCATGTTCATGGCTGGGCACGGTGGCGGACTGAAATCCCAGAAACTCAGGAAGCAGAAGGATCACAAGTTCAAAGCTAGCCTCAGAAACTTAGCAAGGCCCTAAGGAACTTAGCAAAACCCTGTATCAAGAATTTTTTTTTTGTGGGGGGATGTTGGGGGTTGAACCCAGGGCCTGCACATGCAGAGCAAACACTCTACCAACTAAGCTATATCCCTAGCCCCAAGAAAAAATTTTAAAGTTAAAACATTAAAAGGGGCTGGGGATAGAGCTCAGTGGTAAAGTGCCCCTGGGTTCAATCCGCAGCACCTCCCCCAAAAATACACACACACACACTCACACACACACACACACACACACATACATATGTTCATGTTACAAATATTCTTGTCAAATTGTGATATATGCTGTATAATTTAACAAATATTTTCCCCTGGCCTCTTCCAGTCTTGCCTTTAATCCTATAAACACAGTATTAAAAAAGAAAAAAAAACAATGAGTAGTTACTGAATTCACTACTGACTGACATGCATGACTTCCTGGGAAATTTTCCATTTGCTCTGATATACCTGTGATAAGGATAATTCTTTACCCGGGACTTGGTTGTAAGGATATATGCTGAGGTTTATGTCTGAAGATGGCAGTCACCTGGAAGCCAGAGTCCTGCACACAGGCATGTTCTGTTCCTTAATCTTTCAGCCTGAGTCCAAAGCCCCATCTCCCCTGATAGAATGAACCTGGGAGAGCCACTGAACCGCAGCCTGCTGGGGAGGGCAGTGTAGTCCCAGAGCCCTGGTGGAGGCTCCTACTCCTGCTGTTTGAGGCATGGTCTCCTGCAGGTTGGGGATGGAATTTCCTTGTGCTCTCTGAATGCATGTCCCTATGGCATCCAGACTTCAAAACAAACCAAAAGAGCATCTGATTTTTCCTTGAGTGCCTGGAACCTATTGTTTTTAGTGTATTCTGCTGCAGTGGGCAGAATTCTGAAATACAGCAGCCAGAGTCTGTGCTCCTTAAACAGGATCTTCCCTGGGCTAAGATCCACCCAGAGATGTGGGAGTAGGAGACCAACTGGTTTGGAGGGAGGCCTTCATTTCTCCGACTTCTCTTCAGTTGCCTCTCAGAGTTTGTTCCCTATTCTTTCCTGACCCTTGTCCCTTGATAACTGAATATGCAGAAGGTCTGTGCTACTGTTCCAGATGTTGGAGTTTCTACAATAGTATCTTAAAATATTCTTCCTTCCTTTACCTCAGCAACTCCAAGGTTTATCTCTTAAAAACTACCAGGCACTGAATGTGATTGTAGACACCTGTAATCCCAGTGACTTAGGAGGGTAAGGCAGAAGAATCACAAGTTGGAGGCCAGCCTCAGCAATTTAGCAAGATCCTAAGCAACTCAGTGAGACCCTGTCTCAAAATAAAAAGCAAAAAGGGAGATGTGGCTCAGTGGTAAATGTCCCTGGGTTCAATGCCTAGTACAAAAAAAAAAAAAAAAAAAAACAAGCTACCATACTTTAGTTACTATTGTCTAGAATATTACTTCATCATCTAACAAAGCTTAAGAAAAACCTAAATCTCATTCAGATGATCTCTCCAGATTCTCATAACTCCCTTTAAATTCCTGTTATTTTGATTTAGGTATGTGTCACCAAAAGGAAACACTCTGAGTGGAAAACAAGATCTGTTCCTTCTGATGTTTACTTTGCATTTTTATATTTGTAAAGAAAAATATTCTAATTTCTTTTAATGTTGACTGATGTAAAATGAAAGTATGATTATCTAAACTTGTGTGTGGTTTTCTGATGAGTCACCTGAACATATTTTGCAGTGGACACAACAGGTGGTTTGCAATGGCAAAAACAACACTAGACCAATTCAGGTCTGTAGCCTTCCTGTGTGATCTTCAGAAAATAATTTACCCAACTCAGCCTCAGTCCCCTCATTCACATATTTCACTTTCCTATAATGCAGAGACCTTGTGAAGCACTTTGAATTTGAAGGAGTCTAAGGTATTGTGTACTGGTTTCTATAAATTCAGAAATTATTAAATACTGACCAAATTAGATCATGACCTTGAAATGACATAAAAGGGCATATAAGTGGAAAAGATGCTGGATATACAAAAGTTGTTGCCAACTAAAGAAATATTCAAATTTTCTACAAAGGTTATTGAGAGACCATTAGTTTTTAACAACACATATTATAATATTATAACTTAAGAGTTATAATATTTTTGGGATTATATGTTCTGATTATAGGACTTACATGATTGCTACATGTCTTGTAACGAATGTTCTGTCCTTCACAATTCCTAAAGGAAAAAAGAAAAAAAAAACAAGAGAAAATAATGACTTTGTCACATAATGGCATTTTTTTGTCAGCAACAGACTATATAAATGAAGGTGGTCCCCCAAAATAATAATGTATAGTGACTTCGTACCCATGTTTGCTTGTGTAAATGCATTCTATGCTGTTTACACAATGACAAAATTGCCTAACACTGCAGCTTTTTAAAAATATTTAGTCCTGTGAGAACAGAAATATTTAAAAAGTGAATCTTGAATCTACATGAAGTGATTGATAGAGTCAGCAATATACTCACTACGTGTACTTTCTGATGATTATATTTTTACTGATCATAAACGGAACAGGTAAAAAGTAATGTACCTACTATGGTTTGGGTATGAGGTGTCTCCAAAAAAGTACTGTATTGATATAGGAATATTCAAGGTGAAATTATTGGATTATGAGAATCGTAACCTTAGCTATCCATCCTACTTGGAATGGACTGACTGGGTGGTAACTGTGGGCAGGTGGGTTCATCTTCCCTGAAGCACCTGTAGCTTCCCTGTGGCTATGACCTAAGTAGCTTTTTTCTGCTACACACTTACACCATGATGCTCCTCCTTACCTTGGGTCCAGAGCAACAGTCAGCCAATCATGGACTAAACCTCTGAAACCATGAGCTAAAATAAACTTTCCTTCCACTAAGATGTTTTTGTCAGGTATTTTGGTCACAGTGATGCAAAACTGACCAACACAGTACCAAGTAGTCTCAAGATAGCCAGGCGCAGTGGCACACACCTATAATCCTATCGGCTCAAGTTCAAAGCCAGTCTCAACAAAAGCAAGGCATTAAGCAACTCAGTGAGACCCTGTCTCTAAATAAAATACAAATTAGGGCTGGGGATGTGGCTCAGTGGTCAAGTATCCCCGATTTCAATCACTGGTACCAAAAAGAAAAAGAAAAGGTCTCAAGGTGGAAGATCATTCATCTCAAATCACTCCAGCAATTCCAATATTTTTGGAATTTAATCTTCTAGCATTTCCGTCATGATTTATTTGCAGAGTTGAAAATCACACTGTGAATTCAGCTTTGGATTGGTTTTAATCTAATATTATAAATACTGATAATGCTTAGGGAAAATTCCTTTAATGATTACATAACCATCCATTATACAGACTTCATTTTGTTAGTTTTGAATTAAAATTTCTGAATTCTGGTAAAACACAAATAACATAAAATTCATCATCTTAAGTGTATAGTTCAGTACGTGTTAAGAATATTCACATTGAACAGATACTACCGCTTATAATGGTATTACTTCTTTGTTTCCTTCTTTTACAATTTACACACAGTAAAACTCACTTTGGGGAGTTATATAGTTTTATGAGATTTGACAAACCCATGCTGTATAGGAACTACTACCACGATCAATATTTGGAACAGTGCTGTCATTTTTAAAGATGCCTCGTGTCACCCCTTCATGGTCCATCTCTCCCCACTCAGTTCCTGGCAATCACTGATTTGTTTTCTGACCCCAACATCAAGACTCTTGCAGGATGTGATATCAATTGAATCAATAGGAAGCTACAGTGAGTAGCTTTTCAAGAAGGATTCTTTTTTAGCACAATACATTTAAAATTTATTCTTGTTGTGTATATCAGTAGTTTGCAACTTTTTAAATGCTAAGTATTATTCTGTTGAATGCATGCCCAAGTTTTTATTCCGTATCTGCATATTTGAGTTGTTTCCAGTTTGAGGCAATTATGAAAAAAACTGCTAAAAACATTCACATACAGGTTTTGTGTGAACATAAGCTTTCATTTCTCTTGGGTAAATACCTAGAAGTGAGATTACTGAGTCTGCTCTTGTTTATGTAATATAAAGATGCTTTGCTAAACATCTTTATGTTCCTGTTTTTGTTCATACTTAGAATATATACCTAGAAATGGATGACAAATTTTAGTCCCTTTGAAATTTTTCTAATATCTGAGCTTTAAACTATTGGTTGGCTGAGTATTATTTAATTGGTTGCTTTCTCAAGAAGTATATGTGACTGGTATATTAATGAACCTTTCATTTCACATAGAAAAGAAAATTCAGCAAGATGTGATATTCTATTTATATGATTCTTTCCCTCGACACTGTAGGCATGCTGCACTGACCACTGACACTGTGGCTTCCAAAGAAGTCTGATTTTTATTCTTTTGCACATGTGCTTTATTTTTCTGCCTGGAAGCTTATAGTTTCCTTTTGTTTTGTTTTGTTAGCATTTAAAGTAAAAGTTATATTCAGGATATATCTAATTATGATTCTTTCCATCCATTTTGACTGAAAGTGGTGAGCCCTTTTGAATGAAATACTTCATTACCAAAAATGTATGTGTTTTAAAATAAATGGGAATTTCTCAATGCATATTCATAAAGCTATTTCTTCACTACAGTTTAATAAAAATGTACTTTTATTCCCAGGCTCTGATTTTCAATGATTGCTCTTTTTTCCAGAATTGTCTGTAATTCTGAGGTGAGTTCCCTCTGGACATTTGTTTTCTTTATCATCTTTGCATGATTTTCTCTTACTTATGTTTAATTCCTTGTGCCTTTTCTTGTGTTTCCAAGAAATATATAGATATACTTCCTCATGCCTGATTTTATTTCCCTGTAGTGATTATTTTGTAATTCATGGTGTTCGATACTTTTTGGTTCTGATTTTCACTTTTTCTGTCTTTGCAGCCCTTCTCACACTTGCCCTGTCCATTGACAATTCATATCTCCTCACTTTACATTTTGTCCCACTTGAAACATGTACCCCTTAGTGTCCTCATGGCTTGTGTTTTGGGGAGATGCAATCCTAACTGGTTTGGGAGAGAGGTTTGGGAGTGAATTAAACAGCAACATGGCTGACTCCAAAAGCATTGCCCTAGTGGTAGTTAAATGTCTCAATCTGAAGACAGTCAGGTCCAATTAGCTGCTCCTTCTCAAATTCCCACCTTCTCAGATTATGACAAGTGGGTTGACAAAGTCTTCATATTTTATAACTGTACACTTCCATGTTTTGGCCTGTCCTAGGTATACTTTTCTGAAATTTATTAAAATCTTAATGAGACTACATCAAATTTTAAACACTCAAGGTGCACCAAAGTGGGAGGCTGGCAGGAAAACCGGTGAAGAAGTCTCTCTCCTTGTCAAAGGGAAATGACTCCATTCTGCTGGGAACAGCAGCTGTGCCTGTGGACAAGCTCATGCACTCAGGAGATGTATTTCATTCTACTGTTCATGTGCAGAGAAAAGAAGAAAATAAATAACATGAAAAGTGAAAGGGTAATCTAAGTTACTTGACTTATTTTGGAAACACCCCAATTGAGGAAAACTGCTAATAGATCCTATTACTTCCTGTAATAACTGAAAGCGTTTTGTACCACATTGATTACAGTCCTAAAACATTTGTAATTCCAATTTAAAGGGAAGAGCCAAATTAGACACAGTTAAAGATAGTATTTGAATTGATTAATAATACTGGGATACAAAAATTGTGGAAACATACAAAGAATGGCATTTTCTTTAAAAGTGTTTCAGAACTTCGGGAATAATTTTTGAGATGCATTTGCTTAATTTTAGTTATTTAATTTTTTTAAAAAAACTATATTTTAAAGAAAGAAACTGAAAATGAAGGGAAAAACATATCCATCAAAGGTATCTAATGGCTATGCCTCAGGATGGCTATGTAGACCACACACCCATGCATGGTCTATATACCCCACAGATACCTGCTGTGTCTTGATTTTAAGCTACTATCCTAGAATCACTAGCTTGCATCTTGATTTTTGAGCCTGAAAATTTAAACCAAAATGATAAGTACATCCTCACTCCAAATCCCAGTACAATTGCATCAAAGTGACATGGGAAAGAAAGTATTTTATATCATGAAATCTCAAAATGCAAAGCACCATTTTGGATGCCTTCCTTCTTTAACACCTTATAGTGAATCTACTAGGTACTAGGAGGCAGATAGGAAGATGCAATGATTATCTCCCAGCTCCCTTTACAAGTCAATAGTAAGGTGTTTTTTTGTTTTGTTTTTAAAAAACCCAACCACAGGGCCACCATTCTTAATATTATATTTCCCTTTGTCCAACCTAACACACTAAACCCACTGACTGGCCTTTACTGACAGGGCACAGTTTGCTTACAATTCAGTAAGAAAATGAATGACTATTTTATGAAACAGACATAAAATGAAATGCAAGTTATTTTAAAGTTAAGGACATTGGAGTCCTAATTCCCCAAGCAGGAACCTGCCAGCTTATTCTGGAAATAATTCCTTTGGCCCAAATCAACTAAGCTACAGAAATATTACTTGCAAGTTTTTAATATCATTCTAATTACTATATGCAAGAGCTAATGGTTATCAGGAGTATATGAAAATTCAAGAACATCATTTTAAAATTATGTATTTTTTATACATTACAACATTCATAGCACCCTGAAACTGAAGACTTTTGAAGTCATAAATTTATGAATATATAAAAAACATATGTTGATTCCGTGAGGATACATTAAAAACATTAATAAAATTTCCCTAGAGTTCATAGCACTATAATTTATTATATTCACTTGGTGATATATTGACTTAAATACTAGTGTCATAAAGACTGAGAAGCATGTGTTTTGAAGAATAAAAATATATTAATTTTTTAAAAATAGTAGTTAAGTTAAACCTGTGTTTCCCATGGTTGGCACTTGACGAGAATATCAAGTTACACATTTCTGCAAGCGAAAGAGACATTCTGGCTGGTGTATGGTTTGCGGCATAATAGAACCGACTTGAGCATTTAAATGTAATAAAATTCTGAAATGACTTTATCCACAAAGAAATAAATGAGCAAAATAGCTACATTCATCCCTGTCCCTAAGTCATGAATTTAAAGGAGCACACTGATAAGAGAGAAGGCACCAGAATGCTTTCTAAAGCCTGGGATGACTTTTTGTTTGGCTTTGTATGCAATCACCTCCATATTCCATTTCCAA